TTCTTAGTTCGCAAAGCCTTGGACTTGCCAGAAGCTTTAGTCCGCTTAGAAGACTTTCTGACCTTTGCGAATCCATCCTCATGGTGTGTTTCAGGTTCAGGTTCGTCCTGATGACCATCAAGTGATTCCTGGATCTCATCACGGACCTGGTTCTGTTGAGGATAGAACAGCTCAGTCAGTCACTCGTAGTGATAGTGAACGGCTGAGGTGCATAGAGGGGTAAAACGATAGGTATATCCAATGAAAGTAAAGGGGTTGTAAAACTATATATAGAAGGTAAGTTCAAAGAAGAAATAGTATGAACGTATATGGGCTATGGTTGAATCCTCGACACTCCCCCTGAAACCTACGCCCGTATCATGCATGACTCTACACTCTAGTCATCCCCATTCTCCTCAGTAATTCCGCTGCACGCGGCTTAGGCACACTCTTGGTAAACAAGTCGGCTAAATTATCCTCAGAGGCGATATAGCGTACATCCAATTCGCCAAGTTGAATGCTGTCGCGAATCCAGTGGTAGTCCATAGCGAAGTGCTTGGACTTACCATGCCCCTTGGTATTCTGTGTTAAGCCAATAGCAGAATTGTTGTCGCAGTTGAGAGGGTAAGGTCGGTCCTTTAGTAACTCGATCTCATCTAAGAATGATCCCATCCATAATGACTGACGGCCCCCATGAACTGTAGCGACGTATTCAGCCTCTGAAGTTGAAAGTGTGACTCGTTTTTGGGACCGAGAGCTCCATGCAACGGGACCACCCACCATAGTAAAGACATAACCCATCATAGACTTCCCCATCGTCCTATCATCACCATGGGACGAGTCTACGTATCCAACAGGCATTAGGCCATCGTCCTCTGAATTCCTTCGATTGTATGTGATGCGATATTCGATGGTTCCCTTCAAGTAAGCAAGGACATGCATAGCATGATTCCAGTGAATAGGGCGAGCATCAGATGCGTATCGTTGGAGGTAATTGGTAGCAAAAGCAATATTGGGTCTTGTTCCATTGGCAATGTGATTTAGTGATCTGAGTACACCGTGGTAATCTTTATCCCTCATGAATTCTTTGTCCACATTTGGAATCAGCTGGGGTTGTGTCTTGAGGTTCATCAGACTTCCAACAGGAAGCAGTGTAGCCTTTGGTTTGCAATCAGCCATTCCGAAATTCTCTAGCATCTTCAAAATCAGATTCTTTTGATGCAAAGAGATGGTACCAGCTTCCTCATCAAACTCCACCGTCATACCAAGAACGCTATTGTGCTTCCCCAAGTCTTTGATCTTGTATACACTCCCAATATCCCTCCGGACGCGTTGGCCTTCCTCCTCAGATGTTGATGCGCCAGAGACATCGTCTGTGTATGTACACGTGTACGTTCGTTCTGATCCATTCTTCAGAAGGCGGATGCATGGGTCCGCTCGCGACTGTTTATGGCCTTGCGCCACCAGGGTGTTGTTGAGCTCGTGAAACCATGCGTTCCCAGCATCCATCGTCCCGTACATTGCTCTCATCATTAGTAGTACGTACTCCCCTTTTGGATAGTCTCTGGTCACAACATCTTCGTATCCCTGTGGAAGTGAGACATAGTTTTCTCCTTGAGGTTCCGCATTCAGGTAGGCGCCGACAAAGTCTATAAGCCAGAATTTCAGGGCGTGAGCTGCGACAATGGCGAAGAATATCCGTAGTGATTCGTATCGGACCACAGCGGCAAATGAATCGTAGTAGTGTAGACCTTTGATCTGGGTAAATCCTTTGACCACGAGTCTTGCGCGTTGTTTGATGAGTTCCGTGGTGTCTCCATCAAGCTTCTTGTCGAATGTCCATCTGGTATCAATTACGTGCATCCATGGCTCCTTTGGAACAACCCTCCATACGTCTCTTTCTTCCATTCGTCTGATTTTGGCATCCATGGCTGGTTTCCAGATCCTCGCCTTGGTCATTGCTTCGTGGTAGTTGTCTGGTACCCAAAGGTCATGCCTGTCAATGATATTACTGATTTCGGATGCTTTGAGAGCCACTATATCTTCTACATCATCTTCATCAGGGAGTAGTGGAACGAGGTTATCGTTGGCCCAGTCTTTCCCTTGCTGTTTGGCTGTTTCCTCACGTTGTGTGTACTCCTTGGACTCATGTAATGCTTTGGTGGGCTTTGGTATGCGAGATGAACGTCGTATAGGCTGTGGGATGACTCGAGGTTGGATTGGGGGCGCTTGTGCAGGAACAGCAGGTACGGTTGGCAATTGGATTGGTTGAGATCGATCGGGACTTGGTGGATCGATCGGTGGCTGTGAGTGATTCTCGATTGTTTCTTTGAGTGGTTCAACTAGGTCATCATATGCGATCTCCCCCTCACGAGAAGAAACGGTACGCGTAGGACTGAGTTCCTCAAATATGACATCACGAGATGTGATGATATTGTTGCCAGGTATGTCATCCAGCAGGATCCTGTATGTGCCGTGCCCTGCCAAGCTGACAAACCGGCCTTTCTGTCCTCGTGGAGATAATTTGCTGTGACCTTTGGCTGCAGGAATCTTTGCATAACAGGTTGATCCCCAAACTCTTAGATGACCCACTGTCTGCCGCTTACCGCTCCATTCTTCCTCCGGTACTTTCCCTGGGTGCCGTGATGATGGGAGTAAATTCCCAGCTTTGATTGCATAGTCACATGCCTCGGCCCACCAACCGTCGGACATTTTCGCCTCTAGCAGTAGAATTCGAACTGTTCCAAAGACAATACCCAGTGTCTGTTCAGCCATCCCATTGGCTGCAGATGAGTAAGGCGCCATAAACTCAATGATCACTCCTCTTTCTATCCCCCAGTTCTTCCACAACTCGTTGCGGAATTCATTGTCGCAACATATTTTCTTCAGCTTTTTACCAGTTTGGCATTCTGCCATAACTGTGAATTGGTTTAGGGCTTCAACTGTGGTTTCGGCCCTTCGATCCGATAAGTAGTATGGGGTTCTCCGAGATGTCGCATCATCAGCAAACACGATAACATATTTCGCTCCCCCAATGGATCGGACATGAGCTGGGCCCCAAATATCAACCATCACCCGCGCTAACACCACTGTTTCTGGCACCACGTCGGCATCAAACGGCCGTCTTTTCTGATTCCCCAAAATGCAAGGTTCACATTTACCGTCAGCACGTTCTGCCTTCGCAATGTCCAACCCATCTACCAGTGCCCTTTTATGCAACTCGTTTATGCGGTCAATTCCCAGATGCGCAAACCGCATATGCCACGTCTCGATTGGTACTGCTATTTCCAAGGATTTCACGGTAAGGGCGGTATATTCTTTGTTGTGCAGTAATGTCCCATTGATTGTGTAAAGGTCGTTTACCATAGTCGCAGTGAATTGTGGAGTGCGGTTACGGTCCATGAAGGTTGCTTGGCCTCCTCCGAAGGTGACGAACCATCCCTCCTTGTCAAGCCTGCTAATGGATATTAAATTTGCAGATACGTCTGGACAATGTAGGGCCTTGCTGAGGGTGAATATATTCTGCACGCCTGATATGGACGATTTCAGAGCGATGCTGCTGATCCCTTGTATGTTCAGTGAAGCACCAGCCTTTGATGAAGTTCCTGATGTTTCACCCAGCAGCATATAATGGAAAAAGCAATCTTTGTTTTGGATGAAGTGGGTGGATGCTCCAGAGTCCCCATACAACAGTGAGGTGTCTACGAGTTCTTGACTAGTGTTATTGACTATTAGCGCTGATTCTTCTGCCCCTAGGATCTCCTCAATCGACTTCAAGGTTTCGTTGCTGACGTGCACGCTCAGTGCGGTGACATTTGTATAGACGGAGCCTGCCTTGGATGATGATGTGGTGGCTAGGTTCGCAGAACTCGGAACGGGTGCGTCCTGTTTTCCTTTCCACCAAGGGGGATACTGACCCTGTCTCCCTCCCCCTAATTTCCAGCATTCGTCAAGGGTATGTCCCATGCCTTTACAATTATCGTTGGCCGTGTGGAATTTGTCAGACCTTGGTGCCATGGATCTCTTCGAAGATAGGCTTTGGACTTGGAGCATGAGCGCTTGGATCGACGCTTGGAGTGCTTGTATGGTACTAGACTCCTGTGTTGACGAGGGGTTATTGATCGAGTTCCGTCCGACTACTCGTTCGCCATGGGCAATAAGGCATGCGATAACGACAGTGAGGTTTTTTTCAGCGTAGAGCATGCTGACGACCGAGTCCCAACTCTCGGGGAATGAGTCTAGGAGAGTAGTCTTGAAACTCGTGTCGCTGATACCGGCTCCTGCATCGTTAGCCTCCTTTCGAAGTTTACGCATCTTCTCAATATATCCCCCATTGCTGCTGACCTTCTCTCCCTCTTGGTACTTCACAGCTTTCAACGTCTTCTCTCTGCGGTTGCGGACCAGGTCCGAGTAAGCGCCATATTGGGTCTTGAGTATGTCCCATGCCATGTGAGATGGTTTGGTGGGATCAATCCCAATGCCAAATATGTCCTTGACATTGCAAATGATGGAAGCAAGTGCGACGCTCTCACGTTGGGTGTATTCGAGTAAGTTAGGGCTGAGGCTGTTGATAGGAGTGGCTGGTAATGAAGCGAGCGTAGTACCTGGAATGGCCACTTTATTCTCCCAGTAGTTGACGAGGCCACGGGTATTTCCTTCGGTCAACATGACCATTTCGAAGGTTGCCCAGTTCTCGCCATTGAATTTCTCGTCATCGTCCAGTTTAATAGGTAGGACTTGGTGGGTGATAGTCGTCATTATAGGGGGTAGACAAAGTTTTGTTTGCACAGTCTGTGCAGTTTATTGAGTCGTTCGGTAGATACGAGTGTGTTCTTGACCAGCAGGGATAAGCAACGGGAGCCCAGAACCTGTTGAGGATAGAACAGCTCAGTCAGTCACTCGTAGTGATAGTGAACGGCTATATTAGATATGCTACCTGTTGAGGATAGAACAGCTAAAAGTATGTAGCATAAGAAATATGTAGGTGAAGATAATATTAATGGTATACACACCTCAGTCAGTCACTCATAGTGATAGTGAACGGCTGAGGTGCATAGAGGGGTAAAACGTGTATCAGATTCATCATCATATTCTACATTACTACGAGACAAATTCTTCTTTGAAATACCTGCAGCAGTCAGATTCCCTTGGGAACTGACATCCTCATCATCCTCCGAGTCAGAAGGAGACGATTTCTCCTCCTCTGCTTGTACATGAGCAGAAGGAGGGTTCCTCAGTGCGGCATTGCCAGACGCTGGAACACGGCTCACAGCCAGACCAGGAGCAGAGCCCTGAGCACTTGCAGTGCTGGATTCTGCTGGGATTTTAGTATTACGGATATCTGGGGACAGCTCACCAGATAACTCAGATAAAGGACTCTCCACCCTTGGCAAGGCTGGCCCTGTTGCAACAGTGTTGCGGCGGCTGCACAAGGCATAACGAGACATCCTAATAGGTATACAGAAGATACAGTGTCGAAATCGGAGTGGCCTTGGGTGATCAAGCCTCGGTTTTCCAGAGATCGACGAAGAGAGAGAGAAAGAGATTTAAAGAAAAAAGCGCAGATGTAGTTGAGAGAGAGATATAGAAATAAGCAGAGAAACAGCCAATGGAGCTGTCAAAAATATGAGAGGGTGGCGAAAGTCACGTACTCTCACGAAGGAGTTTCACGCAGTGTGTGACAGGTGTAAAGGCTGGTCGTTGCGAAAAACCTGAGCTACTACAGCAGTACATAGCTCTTATATACTACTAGCTAATATCAAATAGATCCTATCGAATGCGTCGAGAACGGTGGAGCATGTGGAGCGACAATGAGGGGGAGAAATGAAGGGTAAGAACCAGGCCAAAGGCCGGCTCGTTACAGCACTCTACTTGGCTTCTCTGGCACCTTGCAGCGAGACCTATGAGGGGGTTCTACTGTGGCATTCCGAGTGGCATTGTCTTCATCCCCATTAATGATCCTGGGTGCACGGAAATGTTTCCGGGCACCATCCACAGCAGGAGAAGCAGCCTTATCTGTTCCATTCATGATGACAACTGAAAGATCATCATCATCATCCAGCAACACTGGATGAATTTCAAGAGGCCACTTTCTTCAGATGGGTTCTAGGGTGCTCTTGGGAGCTCTGGCCTGAGGAGAGGTATCAACAAGTATACCACCATAAATTCATCGCTGACTCACCTTTGCTTTCCCTTTGTCTTTCTTTGCAGGAGGGCTCTTGACAGGTAAACTGGCCTCCAAACTGGCATTCACCACATTCCTGTCTCACCACTCCTCAAATATTGACATGTACTCCAATCCGACATGGAAGTTGAACTTCACTTTGCTGGAGGGGGCAATCCAACTGCTATTTTTGGGGTCAATCTGACCACCCCACATGACGAACTCATCAGCATTTGAGAGTGTCTCATCAGGCTCTACCATCTCTTAAGACCCTTTCACGTGACTTATCATGGAGAACAAATTTGTCATAATCCCATTTGTACCCCTCCTGAGTACCAGGCAAGCACTAGAGGTACTGCTCATGGAGTCTGCTCTCCAGATCCTTTCGCCTGCACACAACAGGAACATGTATTCCTTCAAACATGTTGGACTGAATTAAAAAATGTCAATGCATGGTTCCACTCATTCAACTCAATGGACATATCCAATATGGTTCCATTGTCTTCTTGTTATGACAAACAACCACATTCACTACAACAACCAAGGTTTCTTGCATAGTCAGCAATGCCAACAGCTTTGCAAATTTTTCCGACTCAAGCTCATGACGAATGTGGTTGGCATTATAGTCTTTAGCAGTAGCCCTAGGGTCACCTGGATGACCTTTTAGCATGGCTATAGCACTATGAATTGTGGGTGTTGCATCTGACATGTGATTAGAGTGTCTCCATGCACATCATCTCATAGTCTCTACTCACCAGGCTTGTTTGCATTGATGATCACTCTCCCAATAAAACATGGATTAGGCTTCATGCAACTTGGCTTCATCACTGACTGTATGGTCTCCTCAAAATTGTCAGGACTACATTCCCAGGTGGCACATGCAGGATGAGCACATCTTGATGCCTTGGCAGTATTTCTTGATTGTCTGATAGCTACATTACTCAATAATCAGTCAGTCTATTCCTCCATCATAGGAGCTGAGAGTATCTGTCTTGACTCTTTTGGTGTGCTCCTCAAGCATGCGAAATGTGTTGTGGCACACCAAAATTTCTTTGAGCTCCCTCTTACCATTGACATGAGTAGCAATGGAGCAATAGTCACACCAATCACCAGGTGCAATCCAGTGTTGCTTTTTGTGTTCCCTGCTGGTAGGACACCCCACGTATTCACATTCCACCCATTCTTGGGGGTCTCGCCTCGTACTGACAAACACAGGGCATTATCTTTCTCCATCATTGTCCAGCTCCTCATCCAGCTCATCTTCTTCTCATGTTCCTGTGGAGTTCATTGCTGCTGGACATATAAATTTAGTTATGTTATGAAACTGCATGAACAGGCTTGAGCATACTCATTCCACATTGACTGGAAGGTCCAGCTATGCATAGCGAGCTTCAGTAGATATTATGTGCAAAAAGTTACAGAACTACAGACCTCTCCCAGAACCCCCACACATGCACCATCACACTGCAAGATGAGTCAGGGGTTTGATTCCCAACTGACCTAGAAGGGCAAAATAGGGTAGAGCCCCCCCACCAGCAAGTGAGAACAGGTCATAACCACCATCCCCAGGGCCAACATTCACTCCCAACCGATACAATATATCTCCAAGGATATCAGCAACTGTAGTCCTATCCATGTCTGCATCTGAGGTTAGGATTGTCAGCCACAAACACAGCATGAGCAGGGATGAAAAATGTACAGATAGCGAACGTCTTCCCCGAAATTCTCAGTACAAAGATTGTTTGCATGTTTCTACATCGGAGGTACACACTCATCATCCCCTTATGGGCTACCCACAATCCCACTCTCAGCACTGCAGAGACCAAGACTGTGTATATACCCCACTATAACAAGGCAAAGGCTGCAACAGTGCTCAAACCAAACACCAACAGGCAAAGAAATGCTATGCTGTTGTTAGAGTACATGTATCTCTTGCACATATCTTTAGAGAGGCACAATGGCAATGGATGGGTTTAAATAGGCTGCATGCTGTCTTGAATGAAGATAAAAAATCACCTAATTTTTTCACTCCAGTGAGCCCAATTTCATTTATTCTGATAAATGAAATTGGCAACCGAGGGAGGTGGCGACCATTGGACAAGGTGTTCCACCTGATACATGGCATCCCATCCTTTCTCTCTAATGCTGCCTCCATGCCCTCCCAATGCCAAGCCTCACCTGGTGAGTGTTGTGCATCAGTGCAACAAGACCAACATCAACTGAATCTGATATCAGAGCAGAGCATTCCCAAGAAGAAAAATCAAAACAAACCCAATCATATCTGGTTTCTTTATTCTAAGTGCATCATGCTTCAACTCATTCCCTTCTGCAGCTCCTGATGAGGTGCTTTTGCCATGACTGGTGGAATTGTATCAGATGAGAATGTCCGATCTTGAGATTCTCAGAGATCTCCAGCTTGTTTTTGATACACAAATGTATGGCCTCGGGTCAGTCTTTCTCCTTGCTTTCTTATATTGCATCATTTCAACTGGCTCTATGACAGGTTGACCAATTTGAAGAAGTTGCACAAGAAGTATGGGCTCACCAAGACTCACCAACAGGACCACACTGTCGAGTCGATAGATGCTGAGGTGCACTGGCTGCAGGCCAAGTTCCTCACATCAGAGATGGAAAGAATATGGGACCACCTTGCAAAATATTGCCACAAATGGGTTTCTTGGTTTGTGTTCCCTCCTTCATGCTGACCAGTCTAACTTTGAATCGCAGGGGAGGTGGTGCAGCAGTGGTTTAGAACAAATGAAACAAACCTGTTCCATGGTTGCTGGCATGGTCGGCTTTTTTGTTGTCAATTTTGGTCAGCCAGTCCCTTTGATCTATGGTGTGTTGATCAACATGATAAATGGAAAAGGTTCAGATTGCAACTTCACATGGGTCTGGACCCTTTCACTGGAGTCATCAAGTGGATAAAGATATGGTGGACCAATCGTAACCTAATCCTGATCTGCAACTACTACTTGGATGTCATTGAGGCCACAGGAGGTCAGTCCAAACAAAATTTGAGGTCTCCTGACTAAAATCATTGTGTAGAAATGCCTCTCATCACTCAAAGTGATCCAGATACTGAGAATGTCTGACTGGCAAAGGCACACACTTACCTACATCACTGGAATGACCCTAACCTTTATGGAACAATTCAGCACTGTTGGATGTGTTTGAAGAAGAACATCCCACCCAAGATTGGCTGGAGTCAGATGCTTTTAGCCTCGTCTTTCATTACATTTTCATCCCATTTTTGCAGAGGCAGTTGGATGACTATGTTTACATGGTGAATCGATGCAAGAAAAGAAAAGACAAGAAGAGGATTCAACCACATGGTGTTCTCCTGCACATTGAGGAGTGACCACAGTTTTATGGCTGCCAGAGCTATGCTGTAAGAGAAGGTCATCCCAGCTTTTACCACATCCTGACAGTCTTTTATTTGAAGGTCACCATTGAGGCGGACACCATCCAGGAAGCCAGACAAATCTATGAACCACCCGATCATATGGTTTTCAAAATGGTCCCTGAATCCTTTAGAGCCTTTGCTGATGAAATTATGAAGAAAATGGGTTTGCCTGAGGTTGTACAGGAGTGTGTCTGGGAGATTTATATGGAACTCCTCAGCAGGCTTCATAGTCATGGCATAGTGGGCCACTCTGAATGGACTGCTTTTGTTTTGTTGGGTCCCAGCAAGGGTGATGATGCTGAAGACGATGATGACACAGATATGCCGGATGAACCCATCTCTGCTGAGCAGGCCCTTGTGGAGAATCCCCTGTTCCAGTACTATGGTGGCATTAATGGAGGCATGGGACTGAGTGAGTGCATCTTACCAAGAAGTGATCAAACCAACATTAATGGCTGACACATTAATAGCATGACAATGTATAATATGATTTCTTGCATCAGGAAATATTTACAGAATTAGTCAGGACAGGAAGATATTACAGACAGGCTGCGAACTCTCCTGGAGGGAGCAAGAATGTCACAGGAGCACTTGGGTCTTCAGGTCCACCCTTATAATCCTCCTTGATCTTTTCCTCCCAGCCTGGTGCTTTCCAAAATGGTTCGTTCTCTATTTCTTCTCCATTAGGGACATCTGGCCTTCCCTCTTCTTCAATGTCATACTCTTCAACTTCCTCAGGCTGCGACTCCCATTCTCCTGCCACTATGAGTCTATATAAACTGCTATCATGACTTTGGACATTCCTCAAACTGTTTCCTCAAAGTCCGCTTCAGGTCATCATTTAGCTTCTTGTCATCTGGCTGCTCTGGTACCAACACCAGGTGTGTTGCAGGCAGGCAAATCGTAATGTCAGTGGGGGTGTTCACTTCACCAGATTTGACATGGACAATTCGAACTTGCCATCACAGTTCTCATTCTATGTTCCTGACCTCATAGTCAATACCACAAACATACTGACCAACATGTTCTCCATGGATGATTAGCCACAGATCATAATCACATTGATGAGGATGCCGGATCTTAACCTGTGTATAGTCCATGGCAGCAGGCTTGGAAAAAAAGGTTCTGGCCAAAGCAACTTGGCCTCCAAGTGTCATCGCCTTCACCACAACCTCTTTTTTGTGCGAAGGCAGGAAGACACACATCTCTTTGTCATGAAGATCAGGATGCTCCCACCAGTATGAAGCCCAGAGGGGTCCATGGGTAGGAGATGCTAGTGGTGTGGCCAAGCATGCCTGGGGCTCAGGTGCAGGCACTTGTATTACAGGCCATCGCAGCTGCTTCTGTATGAAACCTGGTGGAGGTCGATATGCATCCTGATGATGGAGCAGTGGCTGGAAGATGAGCAACAGCTTTCCATCCTGTAAAACATTGAGCAACCTGCACGGCGAAACTGTTGAAACACTCACTGACGCTCCCAAAGATCCTCATATGCAAACCATTTCACATGCCAGAGGTTTGCTCCAGAAATATGATTGAGTTCCACCAGCAGGCACAGGCCACTTGTGTAAGTGGGCATCGGATGCCAACCTGGCACACCTGGCCTGTCATGTCGAGCTGGTACCAGTGTCATGTCTCGGATGGTGCCATGGTACCCACACAATCGATGATGTGGCTGTTCTATCGTGACCTCAATGCCCACCCATGGAACTGGTACTTGATGCTCTTGAATGCTAAAGGGGGTCACTGTTGCCTTGGAATGGGGTGGTGTGGTGACCACTGCACAGTTACAATGGGTGCTAAAGAACTATAATTTCAAGGTCAGCCTTGCATTCATGTTCTTGTAACAAAGTCATTCCCAACTTCAATGGTATTGGTATCACTGGATGATGCATTTGACAAGAGATGCACTTGTTGAATAATGTTCACATTGTTGCCCTTGATGTGGTCGACCCAACTGCCTACTGTAACAAGCCCAGTGATCTCAACATAGTTGCTGACCTGGATGTCCTTACAAACATCTTGCCAGGACACAATGGTTGAACCACCCCCATTCAAGTCCATCAGCTCAAGGATGTCATGTGATACTGCTTCCACCAGACCCAGTGTCTTGTTCTTGCCAAAATGGACAGACATTCCCAGTTGAAAGCACGGTGAAGACAATTGGGAATCTTTTGCAACCAGGAGACCAGCAGATTCTCTCTCCCTATCTTGGGAGGGGATCAGGTGGTTTGGTTACGAGAAAGGAATGAAACGGACACACCCAACAGCACACATGCCTGACCAGGCAGATTACATGGCCCTCATCCGTAACTGCCTGAGCACGAGACTTCCTATATCTTTCCAACAGTTCTTGAAGCCACTGTTCTAAGTCTTGATGGTTTGAATTGTCATCCTGCAGTGTTGGTTTGTCCTCATGGATCGCTATCTCCTGCTCCATGTCACAAGCTAGATATCAATCAAAAAGGTCAGATACATGACATCTGAGAAGAGAGGGTGCACATGTGTGTAAGTGTTATATTCTTCCTCATCACCTTTGTCATTGCCCTCACTGGCAGTGTCAACAGTGTTGTGACTGCAGCCTACTTACATGTGGAATTTTGCAATCTAGTGTGTTTTACATGCACACAGAGATATAGTGAGTGAGTGGACTAAAATGACACATCGACACTAATGCTACACGGTGCAATGATGCAGAATATAACTTATGGCATAAGAAGCGATGGGATTCTAAACAGGACTTAGTCACAAGGATGGTTCCAGTAGATAGAAGCCAAGTTTTGAGCCCCCGAGTTCTCATGCATGCATTGAAGGTAGTACTGTAACAAAGGATCAGTTTGTGACTTTGAGCTTTGCATAGAATTAGCAAGCTCACTCAGAGAAATATGAGATACTCTTTTGATAAGACTTTTGAGAACTTAGTCAGAGTGAATACAAATCAGTGATACTGTTTCTGTTCTGTTAAGTGTGATAAGTCTGTTCAGAGAATGTGTTGAAGTGGAAATCTGAGATCTGTTCTGTTCTGTTCTGTTCTGTTTCAGTCTGTTCCATGTCAGTTCTATTTGAAGTTCCATTTCTGAATCTGTTTCTGAGCGCTTCTAAAGTGTTCTTGAGTCGAGATAATCTGCTGGAGTTAGTTGGAGAACCCCTACATACAGTTGTGTAGCGAGCGGGCTAAGTCAGTGCTTGCCTGTGGTGTTCTTTTAGCAAGCTCACTATTGTTTTGACACGTATCATCTCTGTTTCTGTTGGGATCAGTGTCCCTTGTGTATTTTAACTTGAATCTGCCTTGAAGGTTGCATTGCACCAGTGAATGACCTTCCTGTAAAAGTTCCTAGATTTAGGAATTCATTAGAGAAAGCTTAGCTTTGCTAAGAGCACCAAACTAAGAGAAACTCTTCAAGATATTGAAGTATAGTTGGATCGCATTAGAAATAATTGCTCCCCCTAGAACTTATGAGGGTGATTGTAGTTTGTGTAGTTGTGTGAGTGTGTGTGTGGGTTTTTGAGGTTCACCTTTTAGCCCACTCACTATTCCACAGAACCCCACAGTCAGCCTCTTCAACGGATTCTGATTGTTTCTTTAAAACTTATCACTTTTATTGCACTGTACTTACTAGGCCCATAATGAAATAAAATTTGCCTCACTATCAATAGCTGCAAAATTGAATTTGTTTTACCTTACAGTACTCCAGATTGTGGTCTGAAGCCAAGTGGCAAAAGCATGAGAATAGTGATGAAGGCGTTGCCATGTAGGAACTGATTGTTGGGAGTTCAGCAGAGATTGCTGTTGGCATGGTCAAGCTGAGCTCCCAACATTGGCCCTATATGTCCATGTTTGCTCAGCTTTGTTCTCACAGTTCAACTCTTTTTTCTTAATCACCACAATGGCTCAACAACACCCGCAAGCCAAAGAAGAGTGTAAGTACATGAATTCTCCACCTTTCAGATTTGTTGTTGGTGGTGGAGGGTTGTTTCATAGTATCAAACTTTAGAAACAAGACTTGATTCATTCAAATAAATAATGGCTCTTTTCATGATCTAGAATGATGAAAGAGTCTGGTGACTGTCACAGATGACCAATGTTGTGATCATGATTTCGAGCTCAGAATCATGGTCACAGGATTTGTCAGCTGTGACAAGTCATAAGGTACCATGTGAGAGGAATGGGAGATCACATGGCACATACACGTACATGTTTCAACAATTACATTATCTTTGGGTTATGACTGTTTGACCAACAATGAAATACTTAGGCATGTGGAATGTAATAAAGGGAACTAAGCTTGTTCAGCAGCTGCACTTTCCAAGTGCAGACATCTTGCACAGGAGGGCACCAGAGGTATGGTGTAAAGAATGATCGCAGAGAGTTAACATCGGAACAGAGCTCTGGCTGGATTATGCAGCCACTTATTCTTCAGTGAGTGGATGAGTGATGCTATGTGGACATGTGTGAATCTATCTCAGGCAGTGTGCAATCAATTAGTTGTGTATACAGAGTGTGTCATTAAAAGGGATGCTGCACCCCTGGATAGCAATGTCAACCAGCTGCTCAGCAGTCAATCCAATATCCCTGTCATAGACTTGTTGCTAGCCATGAAGACAGTGGATCAATTCACCAGTATCAATAGAAGCACACAGCTTCAAGTTCAAGATTTCATGTGTTTACTCAAGGTGGACTCAAAGATCAGCACTGTGAGTACCACTTTCACTGCAAATAGTCCTTCATGACATGTGATGTTCTGCAGTATCTGACACACTTGGAGAACTGGCCTGAGAAGCTATGCCTGTTGCACAGAGGCTTTGAGGACACTTTGCACTGATGATTCACACATGAGCTGCTCTCCTATGGGAATGAATTGATGCATTTAGGTCTTGAAGGTTGTGACATCTTCTTGCTAATGAACTATCAAAGCCATGCTGTGCAGCAGAAGTGGATGAACATCTCCATGCTGGTTGATGGTGTCACCATTTACATTCGCAGCCTTGTCCAGGTAAGAGGGTATGCTTTTCAGAAGTCTCCATCTTGCTTGACCAAGAATTGCGGTCATAGTGACAAGGCATGATGTCAGAGGAATACGTGATGACACTTCACAAGTGAGTACCCCCACTGCCTTAGTCCTAAGCCTAACTAATGTTCGGTATGAGATTAATCTGAGAGGCAGGGTTAGGCAAGAAGATGTCAACTCTTTTGGAGACTAAGCACCTCCTTAGAAAAATGTTGGATTGGAAGGCAGCATTTGGGGCAGTGCTGTTCATTTCCCCCCTACTCCTGTTTTGTGGAGAGGGCCTAGGTCAGATTTTCGTTGTGACTAACGCAATCAAAGTGAGTGCCAGTTGAGCTAAACTGGGTGACTACCTGATATTTTGATTAACAGGTCGGGAGCAGACTGGAAGCACTCGGCAAACCGGCCTCAATACAGTTTGCAGAGGAGGAAGCATGGAAATGCATTATAGATATCGCAGTAGGCTTGTGGGAATCAGAATATGGGGTGGGGCAATTCTGTCAGAATCTTCCTACAACCATGGACTCCCCCTTGCCAGACCGTGACATCAATTTCTTCCCATGGGCTCTAACAGAAGCCCAGACCTCCAAGCTGATGATGTCTCACAATATGTGGTTCTCCAACTGGAGGTGGTTGCAGAAGACAGGTTCAATTTGGCGACAAGTGTGCTGTGTAAAAAGTGAGGACAGCTTATTTATGAGTGCACATAGACGCAGCAGGTCAGTGGATAGCGTCAATCCACAGACATGGAAGGATCCGTTCTCGCAATCCTTTAAAATAGGGGGCAGTGGCGATGAAAGAGACAGCTTAATTGTCACCCCTGACAATATCTTGGAGCCCTCTCATCTGGATATATGTGCAAACGGGCACTGGCAAACTATTGAGGAGCCATTTGATGCTGATGATTGAATCTTTCCACCATGCGACACAGAGGAACTTTGCAAATTTAATCCAGTGATGCCAGAGCTGAAAACACCTTTGCCCACATTTGGTCCATCAGACAAGGATGCAGAACATGAGCCTGAACTTGGCGATACGTTGACACCCAATGTAGAGCCACAAGTCAACCTTATGTCTGAGCCTCTACAGGACCCCTTGGCAGCGACGACACCAGCAGGCTTCAGTGGGCTCAAATTCAAGAGGTGGGATGAAGGCTCTCTGACCCCCATGAGTTCGGATGAAGAAGACGAGCAAGCATTGCATGGGGAAGAACACAGCACCTCAGCATCCCAGCATCAGATCAAGGCCAGGTCGTTTGTCGTGACTCTGTCAGAATCAGAGTGCCAAGAGCACTTTGCGAAGCTCAAGGAGGATAAAGCTTTGGCCAAGCAATGGCACCTAAGGCTGTTGGGCTCCTCTCTTCCCTGGATGGACACAAACAATGTCACAGAAAGTATGAAGCGGAAAGTGGAGAGCTCCCCCTCTGGGCCGACACCAAAAGCTCCAAGGTTGAATCCTGTATGCTATGAGTGTGCAGATGAGCCTCTGCTGTTTCCCAACTACTATGTGGCATTAGTAGATCAGACAATCAACCTTAGCGTCCTTGGCCTAAAGTCAACTGTAAGTGTCATTTATGTTGGATAGCTCGGTCCTTCGAGGATACTAATCTTCCCAAGTTTCAAGATGACAAGGAGACAGTTTTGGGATGGCAAGCTTGTGCTTGTGGCAGCCTGACCTGCTGGCATGGTAAAAGCATCAACAATTGGGAATGTATGGTGGCTCATGTGAGCACCTCACAGCTTGCTGCAGGAGGGGTGTCCTTGCAGGCTCTGCTTCGAACCAAACAAGTTTTTGTAACCAGCATGGAAGGAAGCAGTCTCTGGGAGTGGGACATAGATTCCATGAAAAAGATCGGCAATGTAGATGTGCCCCAGGAAGTACAAGGTGGGTATGCAGAGCTGCTTGTGGAGTGCCTCTCTGATATGCTATTCAAGACCATTCTACCAGGAGCAAGAAAGACATGGAGCTTCACATTGAATGTTCACTTTGTTCTGTTCTTGAGCAGAGGGATCAAGGGAGCAAGGGTCTGGTGCTTAATGCACTCTACTTGCCAAGAGCAGAGAGGTCACTGGTTGAGACACCGCATGCAGAGTGAGCACTCACTCCATACTACTCAGCATGTCCTTAATGACCTTCTTGATGTGGCAGGCCAGTCATGAGTCAATCCATTGCATTTGATCAAACTAGGGAAGTGCCCACTGACATCTTTGACAACCACTATCCCAAGGATGCCACATGCTTCACCTTGGCCTCCACCATGGCAACTTTTAGTTATATCCATCATGATGGCATAGGTGTGGGAACTGTCATCCAAGTACTGACAGGCAAAAAGATATGGTTTTTCTTTCATAGGGTGGCGTGTCATATTCAGGACACACATGTGGACGAGTTCATGGATGATTGGGTGCCAGGGTTCATACCTGACCCTACTGAGTGGGAGGCAGAAGTTGTGGTCTTGGAGCCTGGCACAGTCCTGTGAGTAGACCTTAACATTCAGTGCACTAACCTGACAGGGGACAATATTGCTGAGAATAATGTGTTACTTCAGCCAAGTGATATGTGGCCCAACAGGCCAGCAAGGTCAGTACCCTTGATAGTTTTATCATTGTCCCAGATAATCATGTTGGCAACAGGTTCAGATGTTCACATACCTGACATTAGTACCCAACTAGGATTACTGGATGTCGTTGCTTTGGGTAATTTTTGCATCTTTGCATTGGCTTTGAATGGTGAGCATAAGAAACCAACCAAGGATGGGATGCACCTTGCTATTACCTCGTACAAGGATATAATTCGCTTTGCCACCTGTCACTTTATTCTTTATGGTCCTGATGGCATCCTCAAGATGCCATATGGCTTGGCGAGGCAGTCAGCTTTGCATTTTGGATGAGCTGTGGATGTCTATGCAGGTTCCATAGCCTCATCTGGCCATTTCAAGAATGGCAATGTGGACGACCCAGTGGACAATACAACCTTATGTTCCGTAGTGCAGGGGGTTCTGTGGGGGTTGTATGGCACTTCTTACACTGGAGAAGATCTCCTCGCTGCTTCAAAGATGGACTTGTGTATGTTAATCTGCCTGCTGTTCATAGTCCAGCCACAAGGTCAAGGTATGATATACATTGTCAGAAGTTCTGCTGTGCTGCATTTCCTGATGATGTCTCAGGTTTTGATCACCAGAAGTGAGACACAGAGTGGCCTGCAATGGCATAAGAGGTGGATGCTGTCACGGCCACCTCTATAAAAGAATATTGCAGTTCAGCAATGAGTTTAGAGGACGTCATAACAGTAGGGCAGTGGAGAAAAATGTGGTGAGACAAGTTCATTTTCGGTATGTGACAAGTCTGATGGGTGTGGTCAAAGAATCTGAAATTTCTTCTAGGAGATTGTAATGCCCCCATTGATGGGGAGAAGGTGTATGGCTCTTCATGCTGTCTCAACTAGACAACTAAGACAAGAATGACAGTACATCCAGTTGGCAAGATCCAAGGACCAAGGGCAGGGATGGGAAGTCAATGCATACACCTTGGCCCGGTCTGATTTTGAGGCATTATTAGGAGGGGGTTCTGTGCCCTCAATGGTCCTGCAGTGTCTGTTAAAGAGTATGATATTGGAGCACAATGCATCATGTCAAGAGGGTTGGTTCATGTGGCCAGGTATGGACTACCATTGGGAGCAGTCATATGCTGAAGAAGTCAAGGTATGTCATTTATTGAAGCTCAACTGGGAATAGAGTGAACAAGTGTTATAGAAGAACATGGCCAGGCCAGGATACTGTTGCAGTTGGATGCTACGGAAGCACAAATCAGGCCACTGAATTCTGATCCAAATCAATCTGAATATCAAGTGTTTCACCGTATGGGACAGCAGGTAAGCTTTGGATGCCTCACAGTCTCAGGCCAATGACTGGGTTTTGGTGAGTTGTATTCCTGTGCATTGACACGTGTGCAACGTGTTCATACATGTAATTTTGCGAATCCTGTGAATCCAAATGTGTGTCAATCCACTAAGTAATATTAGAGTGCATACCCGGCATGGAGCGACACCTGTTGAGGCAGGAGCAGCATATAATAAAATAATCCGAGTGGAGCGCATGGCTTAGACTTAGAGCGGCACACTGGTGTCATTTAAGTGTGGAGTCTCAGTGCCCTGACTCACACCCTATGCATCCCTCAGCAGTGTCTCGCTCAAATAAAATACACTGAAAAGATAATATAATTACAGAGCTTCGCGCAACATTGATCTATGACACGTGAACCCTGCCGATCCGGCAATCACCGAGAGACATCATTCAGAACCAAGGACCACCCAGTCCGAGCCTCCTGAGAGGGCTTCGGCCGACACGAGAGAAACCCTGTACCCAGAATGAAATATTGAACTAAGAAAAGGTTGTGCAGCAACCAAATATAAATACCAACTCGCTAGCGATGTGCGCGACAGAGGAATTAAAAACAAGGAGCCAATTAGGAGAAATATTCCGCATGGTGTGGCAACTCTAAACCTTGCCAAGAAGAAAGAGCAGCGTGTTATTGAGCCCTAACTCGGATGACTGACTCAGGATATTAATTAGTGACCATGCAGTTGATGCGTCATGGAGAGGAAATGGCTCCGGGGTGGAGCGTATCTATTTTCGATATTTCTATTTATATAATTAGCTGTAGATAAAAGCGCGGTAATTAGAAGTAGTTAGCAAGCTTTCGAACCCCCACAGTTGTGACACGTAGCAGAGAGCCTAGTGTGCAACCAAAGGAATTGTGTTTATAGCTTCGAGCAAGAGAATATTATTGGATCTAGAATTATTTTGAGATGCTTGAGAGGTCGCGAGGCATGCCTAGCTTGATTCTGGACAGTAATTGATTGTGCTCAACTCAGAGAAATATTGTATTGTAATAACTTGAATGTGCATTTGTGTTTGTGGAACATGTTTGTGAATTCTGAGTTGTTGCAAGTAGCAGAGGTTCAAACCCTTTGGCTTGTCAATACTCTTTGAGGGTTTTTGGTTTATTCCCAAGTAGCATAGGTTCAAACCCTGTGGCTTGTGGACGTGTCTCTGTGTTTCTGTGTCTCTGGATTGCATAGGTTTGAACCCTGTGGATCTACGAAAGGTTTCTGAAGTGTTTTCTGCTTAGAGTGCAAGGCTTTAAGTTGTGTGTAGTTTGTTTGACAGGTTGTGGCCACCTGTGTGTTGCGCGCAACATCAATTGAGGGTTGTATGTTTGTTACGGTTATTCTTTTCTTTTCTTTTTCTTTTTCTCTTTCCCTTCTTTTTATTTTCTTTTCTTTAGTCAGCCGGATTATGCGAGGCGCGATCATCACGGACTGACTGCGCAACAGTATTTTTAGAATACTTACGTGTATTTAAGTAGAGCCTCAGCTGGTCTGAACCCCAGCTTCGGCTAAGGTTAATTCTACCTAACATCGAACTCCGTCCTTCGTGACTATCTGTCCCATTGACTTACGTCGCCTTTGACTTGCTATTGCATCGTCTACCGAAGTGCGAGTAGCGACCTTAGCACGATCTAAGTCGATCTGAGTTAGTGGCTAACATTTAGCCGAAGCTCGTCTTTTGTTGCCCAACGATTTATCGTTGCCCAACATTTTCCCTATTATCCTCCTCGTTGTTGTGGCACTTGTCGTGCTGCAATTCCTTCTCGACGACCCTCTTGGATCGGTTATCGCAACCATCCTACGAGTGTTTCTTATCTGCGTATACATCCCATCCCCGGTACTTGCAGGACTCCTCCTGCTCCTCTGGGTCGGATTTCTGCGCCATTTCTAAAACAATTAAACCCTTTATCCTCGCCCTCCAGCTCACCTCTCTGTTAACAATCGCATTGTTGATAGTAATGAGCTCCCCATCTGATGACTCCTGTGAGGTCCAGCTGATGAACGGTTCCAACTACGAAACCGACCTCAGCTTGATCATCGCACTCCTCATCGTGCTCACCATCCTTGCTGTTTACCAGCTTGCATGGTCCATCGTCGACTTACGCCACGGATAGATCCCCGGACGAATGCCCTGGTCCGAATCCATTCTCGCCGTCTTCGCGACTTTTTTACTCTTTTTATTGTCCATTACTTTGTACCGAATACACCGTTGTTTTCGACAACAAAGGCGGGTCCGCGCGCAACTCCCGTTTCATTACATCCCCAGCACCCCGGTGTATCCACCGCCGGTAATTCACATCCCCTCGGCATCCCAGCAAACGATCGAAGATGTCGAGTCCAACGCCTCTGGGAGACCTGGAGGATCCCTATACACCT